GAGAGCAAGCCGCCAGGTCTTGGGATTCAAACTGCAGTCGGCCATGTGGGAGTCCAGTACCTTTAACCATCATGCCACCTGCTGGCCCCAAAATTAAAAATCGGTTTTCCTAGCCACATTTCAGAGGTTCATTAGCCAGGTAGGACTGGTGGCTCCCCTATGGGACAGCTGAGAACAGTGTCCCATCATTGGGCAGCCTTGTGCTTAGTGGTCAGGTTCCCACTTTTTCACATAGACCCTGATTTTCTTTTCTTGGAGGGGTTTTCGCTATAGGGCACGTACGCTCGCCAAACAGACAGAGAGAGGCAGAGAGACAGAAAGCGAGAAATCACCCCCCAGGGGGGATAGTCACGCCGCAATCCCTTCTCCTCCATTCTCCTCTCGGGATCTTGGGCACACATGCACACGTGCCTGGCGTGAGTTTTAAGTCACCGGATCTGGGACGCGAACTGCGGTCGACTATGTGGGAGTCCAGCGACATAGCCGTCACGCTAACTGCTGGTTCCCATAGACCCTGATTTTCAAATCCTTCCTCTCTCTTGTGTGTCAGAGTCCTGTGACTAGTTGGTATTTGCTGGGTGTCAAAGCTGGTGGAGACTGAGTCTGGAGGCCCTTTGTAGTCTGGCTTTGTCCATAGTGAGGGCTCCTGGTGACTGCTTTTGTCACTATGTTCAGAATAATACCTATCCCCAGGGGCTCGGGAAGATTTGACGAGGGACACTGTGTCCCCAGCACAGGCCTGCTCCTTGGGGGAGTGCATGTGGGCCTTTCTTATTCTAAAAGCTTCTTTCCTTAAGGTCAGAGACCACAGCTATAGACTACCTTCTCAGGGGTGTCCAGAGGGTTACCAGCCTGGCGTCCTGGGTTCCCTGTGGATCACCTCATAGACGACGCGGTCACTGGCACGGGGACTACCTCGTCCCCCTGGACAGAGCTGTGGTTGCAGAGACCACAGGTTCTAGGCCCCAGGCTGGGTTTCTGCAGGGAGTCCTTTGCACAGTGCCTGGGCCTTGGGGGGCATTTGCCAGATGGATTTGCTTGGCTGGCCCCGGGAGAGTGAGAACAGTGCCACCTGGCGGGCGCAGTACCTCTAGTGGGCACTGTATCTCTGACTTCTCCTGGCTCTTCCTAAGGAGCCAGCCATGGATTTTAACCACACCCTAAGTGTATGATCTCATCTCAACTCTGTTTCATCAGCAGAGACCCTCCTGATTCCAGGTAGGGCTACACCCACAGATGCCAGGGTTAGGGCTTCTGGGGACACAGGTCAGCCCACACGTTTCCCTCCCCATTCTCCTGGCTCTCAGCCTGTCCCTCCAGCTGTGCCTTCCTCCTCCCCTGGTGCTCCTGACAGCCCCTGGAATTCCCTCCAGCCCTCTATTGCCCCTTAGCTCCCACCCCGCTGGCTCCCATCCTGTGACCGCGCCTTAGCGTCCTGCCTTCCACGCATCTCCTAGGTCCCACAGCCATGTTCCCGGCTGGTGGCCGAGCTGCTCTGCAGATTCTCAGTGCTCCCAGCTGTGGTCACCCATACTGCAGTCTCCTCCACACGGCTCTGTCCTTTCTGCTTTCGGTCTGGAAGGACAGATACCCAAGGAGGGATCTGAATCTCCGCATTCCCAGATCCTGCCCCCTTCCTAGCTCCTGCTCCTCTTTGTCCTTGTAGCCGTGGCTCAGTGCAGACTCGTGCCTCCTTCCTGCTCACCAACTAGGGCTCCCCTGGTTGCCCGTGTGCACCCTCTCATCCATCTTTCTGAAAACATAGGATCTGGGTAGAAACCGCCAGCCCTTGTGTTCAGGCAGTCTTGTCTTCCCACCCTCGGCTTCCCTCCTGCTGTGGAGCTGTCTGCTGCTGGCTGCTCTTCTGCTGTGGCTGGAGTGGTCCCCTGGCTGAGGTCCCTCCCCCCGGTTCACTCCTGGCCCTGTGGGTACCCAGCCTTTCCCGTGGTGTTCACTCATCATCTGCTGCTGCCCTTCTGCATCCACCTGCGCAGCACGGGTGGAGTTTGAGAGAGAGGGAGGTGCAGGGAGTCAAGTGGGTGCACCAAGCTGGCAGCTCAGTGTGACTAGAGGCAGGCTGTGGGCACAGAAGGCTGATGGCCTCGAGCCAGTGACTAGACAGTGGCTGGTTTGTTGTATTGGGTCCACCAGGTCATCCCCAAACCACCTTTGAGTCTGCACCTAGCACTCCAGGGCATTTTGATGTGGGAACACCTAGGCGAGGTCACTGCTCCCCATGTGACCAGGAGCCCTCCAGGCACAGCCTGGGCAGGCCGTCCTATGGGATCTCATGGCCCATGCTCTCTCTTCACAGGCTGGAGCAGCCCTACTTCAGTGCCAACGCCCAGTTTTTCCAGGCGCTGAGCCAGTGCCCCTCACTGCAGCGCCTGTGCCTGGTCTCCCGCAGCGGCACCCTCCAGCCCGACGCCGTGCTGGCCTTCATGGCTCGCTGCCTGCACGTCGTTGTGTGCCACATGTTCACCGGAGAGTCCCTTGCCACCTGCAAGAAACTTCAGCAGTCGCTCCTCCGCAGGTGAGTGGTGTGGCTGGGTGTGCCCTGGGGAGAGGGGGCAGGAGGCCACAGACAGCACCACCGTCCCATGACCTCGTCCCTGAAGGGATCTGGAGTGGCCAACAGCAGTCTCAGAATGAGGGACTCTAGGCAGGGTGGAACGAGAACTGAGGTTGTGGCTGCCTTCTGTGGCAGGACCCCTCTCCCTGGGCCTTCTCTCAGCCACGTGGTTATTTATTTATTTATTTATTTTCTTTTTTGAAGAAGTTTTTGCTATAGGGTACATGCGCTCGCCAGAAAGACAAAGAGACAGACAGAAAGCGAGAAATCACCCCCCAGGGGGAATGACTGTGCCACGGTCCCTTCTCCTCCATTCTTCTCTTGGGATCTTGGACATGCATGCACATGTGCCTAGCATGAGTTTAAGCCACTGGGCCTGGGACTCGAACCACGATCAACTACATGGGAGTCCAGCGACACAGCCATTACACCAACTGCTGGTCCCTTATTTATTTATTTTAATTTGACCAGAGAGGGACAGAGTGAGAGAGAGAGAAGAAAAGTGAGAAAGCAAGCTGCCAGGTCCAGGACTTGAATCACAGTCAGCCTTGTGGGAATCTAGCACCTTTAACTACCATGCCACCTGCTGGCCCCTATTTACTTATTTTTAAACATTTGCTATAGGGCACCTGCAGTCACCAGAGAGAGAGAGAGAGAACCCCCCAGAGGGGACAGTCATGCCACAGTCCCTTCTCTATTTCTCTCTCCTTTTGGGATTTTGGGCATACGTGCACATGTGCCCAGTGTGTCCTTCAAGCTGCCAGGGCCAGGATTTGAGCTGTACAGCCGGCCGCGTGGGACCCAACCATCCCAGTCACCTCACCAATAGCTGTCTCCGCTAATTAAAATGGTTAATTTTCAGTCCTCTCTCTCCCTATTCTTTATTTGTCTGCTTCTCAGCACATAAAATACACATGCCCAAAAACCACCTCCCCAATTTTTACATTAACCTAATTTTAGAAAAATTGCAAAAAAAATAAAGTTCCCAAATATCCTTTGCCCGGCATCCTCTAATGAATCAACATGTACCTGCAGGACTGTTACCAGGACTAGGAAGTTTCCATGCAGCGCCACTCACCAGTCGACCCTTAGAATTTTGTCGGTGTCCTCGCAGTGTCCTCTTCCTGTTCCAGGATGTGATTCAGAGCCCCTCATTGTGTTTCGTTGTCCCCTTAGGTTTCTCTGACCTATGCCAGCTCTTCAGTCTCTTCTTGTCTTTTGTGACACAGGCACCTTTTCTTCTTCTTTTTACAAATTGCCTGAGGATGTGTGTTTATTACCACCGAGACAGAGAGAGAGAGAGAAGAGAACTCCCCGATGGAGCATGGCTGTGCCGCAATCCCTTCTCCCCCACTCTTCCTTCCCATCAGTATTTGGGCACACACATGCTCCTGGCATGTTTTTCAAGTGAGTGGTGGGGATTCAAATTGTAGTCAGTCATGTGGGCCCCTGTTCCCTTAATCATTGTGCTACAGACCAGGCTTGACTTAGGCCCTTTGAAGTGGGCAGCTGCTTTTTAGAGTCCCTCAGTCTGAGTTTGTCTGGTCTTTCCTTTCCTTTCCTTTCCTTTCCTTTCCTTTCCTTTTTCTTTTTCTTTTTTTTTTTTTTTTCAAGTTTTTGCCGTATACTCTGAAGACAGAGAGAGAGAGAGAGGGAGAGAGAGAGAGAAAGAAATCACCCCCCAGGGGGGATGGCCATGCCACAGTCCCGCTCCTCCATTCTCCTCTCAGGATTTTGGGCATGCACACACACATGCTGCCTGGCATGATTTTTAAGCTACCGGGACCAGAACTCAAACCACAGTTGACCATTGTAGGAGTCCAGCACGTTACCCACGACACCATCTGCTGGCCCGTCTGTGTTCTTGTTTTTAAAAATGGTGGTAAGCGCTGGGCGCGTGTGCGTGCGTGCCCAAGATCCCGAGAGGAGAGTGGAGGAGAAGGGATTGTGGCGTGACCATCCCCCCTGGGGGGTGATTTCTCGCTTTCTGTCTCTCTGTCTCTGTCTGTCTGGCGAGCGCACGTGCCCTATAGCAAAAACCTCTCAAAAAAAAAAAAAATGGTGGTAAGGACTGACTCCGTGACAGGAATTAACTGTACAAAGGAAGCTGGCTCTTACGTGCTGATGGGTTTAAATCCTGGCCCTGGCAGCAGCATGCTGGCGGTGTGCGTGAGTGCCCCAGGATCCTGACAGGATGGTGCGTTTGAGGAAGGAGGATTGCAGCTGACCAGGCCTTATTGGGGGGTAGTTTCTCTCTTTCAGTCTCTCTCTCAGACATGTGGATGCAGGTACTCTATCATGAATAAAGGGAAAATTGTGGTAAAATACATGCAGCATAGAATCTATCCTCTTAACCATGTTTAAGTGTGAGTTCAGTGGCAACTCAAACTTTGTCTCATTAAACACTTAATTCCCATCCTCCTCCCCCAGCCCACAGCTACTACTGTTCTACTTTCTGTTCCTATGAATTTAATGACTCTAGGAGCCTCATATAAGTGGATTTACATAGTAATTTTGTGTGTGTCTTATTCTGCTTTCTTTTTTTATTTTTTAAAAAATTGCCAAAGAGCATGTGCACTTGTGGGGGTGTAAGAGAGAGGGAGAGAGCATCCCACAATGGGGCATGGTCATGCGGTAATCCCCTTTCCTCCATTGCTCCATTCTATCAGGATTTGGGGCACACATGCACACGTGCCTGATGTGTCTCTCAACTGCCAGGGCCAGGATTTGAACTGTGGTCAGCCATGTGGGCTCAGGCTCCCTTGGGCACAGTGCTTAACCACTATGCTATGAGGCTGGCCTGAGTTTGCTTTTTTTTTTGCTAGAGGGCCCAGTGCTCACTGGAGAGAATGAAAAAGTACTCCCTATGGGGAATAATCAGACCACAATCCCTTCTCTTCCATCTCTTCCTCCTTTTGGGATTTTGGGCATGCACATACATGCACCTGGTGCTTTTCTTTTCCTTTTTGTTCTTTAGTGCATGTGGGGATTCTCAGGATTCTCTTTTATTTATTTATTTTTTAATTTTTAGAGAGTTTTTTTGCTATAGGGTGCATGTGCTTGCTGTAGAGACAGAGAGAGACAGAAAGACAGAAAGTGGAAAATCATCCCCAGAAGGGATGGCCACACGGCAATTCCTTCTCTTCCATTCTCTTCTTGGGATTTTGGGCATGCATGCACACATGTCTGGTGTGAATTTCAAGCCACCAGGTCTGGGACTTGAACCATGGTCGAGTATGTGGAAGTCCAGCGATGTAACCGTTATGCCATCTGCTGGTCCCTACCTGGTGTTTTTCAAGCTGCTGGATCTAGTACTCAAACCATATAGCTAGCCATATGGGATCCAGCTGCTTAAACCACACCATGCCACTGAGTGGCCCTCAAGCTTGCCTTTTAAATCCTTGAAATATATCAGGTGTCTAGGAGAGACATAGCGTTTGGTTTCCATGTGTTTGTAACATCCTCCATGTATGAAGGCCATGTAGCTTGTGCTCGTCCACGTGGGCGGGTCAGCGCCACTCTCAAGGTGTGGGTTCATTCCTTTTCAATGCTGACTCTACAGTGAACTTGATGCATCTGTTCTCTGAGTGGGTCTTCTGCCCAGTGAGTGTACCTGTACAGGCCTGCCAGGTCCAGGTACATATACTCCTAGGAGTGGAGCGACTGGGGTTTTCAAGAACTTGCCAAATTAGTCTCCAGAGTGATTCTTCTGAGCTCCACTGCCCCCAGCTGGGTGTGAGAGTTCTTTCCCCACATCCTTGCCCTACCTTAGGCATTGTCAGACTTCTAGTTTTTCCCAGTTTATAGATTTTTCAAGGGCGGAGATGTCCTCACGATGTTTGAACTTGGTCTTGTCTGTTCCGAGTGAATGCCGCTCAGTGTGTTAGCAGTTTCTGTCTCCTCATTTGTCCCTCAGGGACTTTCTGGTGGGTTTCTCTGGGAGGGAGAAGGGGAAAGCAGGCACCTGTGTACCTTTGCCGAGGCCTTGGTTGGTGTGCTCCGGCTGTCTGACTTGGTGGCACACATTGCCTATCCTGAGGAGGCTTCTTTTTTTATATATATAATTTTATTTTAACTTTTATTTATCCATTTATTTATTTATTTCAATTTGACCAGAGAGGCACAGAGAAAAAGAAAGCGAGGAAGCAAGCCGCCAGGGCTGGGACCCGAACCACGGTCAGCCATGTGGGAGTCCAGCTCCGTTAACCATCACGCCACCTGCCGGCCCCCTGAGGAGGGTTCTATCCTCTTGGATCTTCTCGGGATCTTGGGCACGCATGCACACGCACCTGACGTGAGTTTAAGCCACCGGGTCCAAGACTCAAACCACAGTTGACTACGTGGGAGTATAACAACATAGCCGTTACACCATCTACTGATCCCTGTCCTCTTGGAATTTCCTGCCTCCTCTATCACTGTTGTTTCAGGTTGCTGTCAGAGTTTAATGACGTGCCTATGCTCTACCCTCATATCCCCAAATCTTCCTAATAACTTTGCTATTTATCCTTTACCTTGACTGAGAACTCAGGTTCAAGGTCTGTTGGTTTGTGCGTGAACTAAAATACAACTAAACAGTCTCTGAGTGACTTCCCTGGTGTCTCACATGAGACTGCAGTACTTGAACTTTGTACGTGCACAGACAGCCCCCAGACTTCCTATAAACACAGTTGCCACTTGGTATTTAACCAGATAAGCCGCCGGGTAGCTTTGGTCAGGGCCAGGTTTACTGTCCCTCTAATAGGGAATGGTGAACTCACTTTTGCCTGCAATTTGTACGAAAGCAGTTAAATGCATGGGGTTCATGAGGGTTCGCTCTAGTAGAATGCTCCAGATTCCCTGAGTTCTCTTACCTGGTTATACCCCCAGGAGTCTTCCTGATCCACAGTGGGCCTGCGAGGGCATCGAATATCAAGTGCAGGAACTCTTGGAGTCTTGGAACCTTCTCTAATAAATTATGTCTA